TTTAGCCGATCAAAAAGTAAATAGTGACCGAATAAATCAAAACCAATTAAACCCAATCTTATTTTATTTGGTTATGGGTAGATTTGAAATATAAAAAAACTGATAAATCTAAACTGATTTAAAGAAAAACCAAAAAATTTAACCAAACAGCTCTTCTACTTTTCTTTCTTCTTCTTGCCTCTTGCTAAGTCTCTTGCTAATTGAAGTTTTATTTAATATTTTTTTTGGCTGTTAAAAAAATTAAATAATAAAGTTTTAATGCTTACACAATAAAAAAAAAACTATGGCTTTTAATATTGATTAAATTAAACCCACAAATGGCTAATCTCCACCAATATCATGCAAGACTTTTGTAACAACCATCGTGCAAGTTGAGATATTAATGTCGCATTCTTCTCTCAGAATTAATTCGAAAAGAAAAATGTATGATCAATCAAGTGGGTATTAGCTTAAATTTTTTTTTGTAGCAGGTATGCAGTATTTATATATAGATGGGGGTATGGAGAAGACTGGATTCATACGTTAGTTTTGTAATTGTTATCATTTGTTATAGTTTAAATTATATTAGACTTAGTCGCATGTTCAAGTCTTATTAAATGGGTATAAGAAAGCACGGATGGTAATTTCCACCGAGTATTTTAATGCACTCAAATATTATGTGACGACTTCAAGACTTCAAAATTTTGGAGTAATCCAAAAGCGAAATAACATGCACTATTTTAGTTGAAAATTACAAATACGTAGCGGGTAAACGAACAATAAGCTGTGCCGCAACCCCATTTTGGATGTCAAAACTAATTCTTTTAATAACAACATCTATAGATCTTGGAGTCATAACATTACAATGCGTGACCCGTTGGACAGTATTGAGTAGCTCCACAACTTCTGGCGCATGAAAACCGAAAGTATCAAATTCAATGGTTTTAAACGTGTGTTGATTTTTCATGCACGCTTTTTCATGTTTTGTTATTTTGCTTGATGCAGCTTTTAAAGCAGCTTGCATCACTGTGAAAACTCTACTCCCCAAGCCCACAAGAGGGGAAACCCTTATTAGATCCACGCATGCATGTTTCCTTCCAGCTCATTCAAATATTAAAATATCAGTTGGTCTAAGTGTTGATCTTCCTTCTAATGGGTCGGTCGGTACTTGAAACCCGGGAGCTCTTTACAATGAACTGCCTCTTTCTTGACAGAAACCCCAACGCGTCTAAATATTTCAAAAATAACATCCCTAACCAGATCGTGTCAGTACTTGAAACCCAGGAGCTCTTTAAAATGAACTGCATGCTCCCCAAACGAGTCCAAACATGCCTTACGACAAACAGGGCAAGTCTCGTCAGCAGGAAATAAAGGGATCATAAGGTGATACTTGAGGATGGTACGATACTCCACTGGCGACATATGCTCGCCAAGAACGTCAATAGGAATAGTCATAAGAAAATCCTGAGCATGTGGGACCCTTAGACACTCAAAAATAGCTTTCTGTCTAATCGTCATGTCGAAGTAAACTTCCATGTCTTGGACAATTTTATTAAAAAAGGGCACTCGCCAATGAATGTTGGGCTTTTGGAGGGGCGGTGTCCTTATTAGTGAAACCGTTGAAGTCAAATCCCAAATCATATCATGAAGAAAGGCCAAAGCACAAACATAATCTGAATCCATACCACATATGCCGCTATTTCGTAAGATGTGGTCTTGTAACACCCACGATTGAGCCCATGAGGCAACAAAAGCATATGAGGAAGCCTCTACTGCTAAGTACAACCCCAAACCACCAAATTTAATTGGTAACGAAGCCAGTCAAAATTCGTGATCCGAGCATTAAGATAGAGTAAAGCACACAAGCAACTAAGACAGAAGGAACTGGAACAAGGTTTACTCAACTCATCTCGACACGCATCTTGACTCAACTAGACTTGTGACAACCTATATAAAAAATTTTTAGGTTATTTAATGAAAAGAAATTATCTGATTCATTGAACGCGCGTCATTGAAGGTCCCTAAAGAATGGACCCCCACCAACCACAATATCTTCAATAGACTCACGTAACCATTTATCAAAATACAGAGCAGCCTCTTCCATGTGAGCGGGTTGGCACCTTCTAAAACCAAAGAAAAGTTTGGCGATGCCCATGCAAGATCGAAACAAAAGAAGCTCACTTTGGGGGTCATGTAACTGTGGTAGAAGGTGCATCAAATCAACAACCTTGGCAGCCCTCTTCATGGCTAACCCGCTAATAAAACTTACGTCTCTACTAACAACTCTCCCAAGCAGCTTCACCCCCACTGACGGTCTTATTTTGTGGTATTAACTAGCGAAGCAAATTTATCATTTGTTATCTGTAGTTCTAGTCTCAAATTTGTCATTAATACTTTGAAGTCAATTAACTTAATAAATTTCCTGATACGGTATTATATAATCAAATTGAATCATTTACATGCTTTATTTACTTGTATGGTGGATGAATTTTTGTTATGTGAATTAACCTCGTAAATGCTTGAATTTGTCATCAATATATAGGAAAAAAGAAGATACACGTGAACAAGAGCTTAATCACAAAATAATCGATTAGTCTTCAACTCGAATATGTAGTAATATAGTTTTATGCTCTCCTCTCTCTCTCTCTCTCTCTCTCTCTATATATATATATATATATATATATATATATAAATAAACACAGACATACACCTACATATACAAGCATACACACACTAGGTGAATTCCCACGCATTGTATAGAAATATCTATCTAGTTGAAATCTTACAAATATGTGTTTTCTTAAATATAACAATAACATTATTGTTAAATTTGATATAATAATTCGTATACTAAGTTTGTATAATATAAACATTTATAGCTGTTATTGTTAATTAATTTTAGAAAATTTACTTTCTTAACGTTATCATTTCTATAATTGAAATTATTTAAAATATTAAATATTTTTTTTATTTTTAATGTTAACAATATAATAATTTATATAGAATAAATTTTAACTACTATTATTGTTACTTATTTGAAAACTTTTAATGATTATAAATTATCTTTAGAAAGTATTTTAGTTAAATTGAGATTACAATTTAATTTTTGCCTTTAGCACTACAATTTATCATTTTTAGCTATTAATAAAATATTCATTGGATTTATTAAGTGGAACTGAAATTTATATTAAAATTGACATTGTAATGTTATATTTAAATTAACAATTTGAGTATTTTATCAAAACTGTTCAAAAGTTATGGCTTTAAAGTGATAATGGTTTAAATACAATAACCTATTAAATCTAATAAATTAAGTATAATATGTTAAAAGTTAAATACATAACTTTACAAATAGAAATAAATATATTATTCTAATATTGAAATTTAATTTATTTATGATTACATTTTAAAGTTGATATTTATTTAATTTTTTTAACCAACTTATAATCATTATTAGAAAAATACTACAATTTATCATTTTTAACTATTTACAAAATATTCTTTGAGCTGTTTATGTCAAACTAAAATTTATATTTAAGTGACCCTGTAATGTTATATTTAAATTAACAATTTAAGTATCTATCAATGTGCGTGGATAGTTGAAGAAAAGATCATTATATTGAACTTGAACAACACAGGGTTATCTTTACACATGAATTTTGGTTGCCACTAGAAAAAATGTGAGGCCTTTCATAAAATTTAAATTTATATATGTTGTTTAATTAAATTATGCATATAAATTGTTAAATTAAATAATTTTTTTTTTGAGAATGTAACATAAATAACCTCCACAAATCGAAAAAATAAAAAAATCAAAGAACCACCCATATATCGTTTTGAAAATATTGTTTGTTTACTATTCTTTTTGAAAGGTAGTTATTTCACACAAATGCATATAGTTTTGAAAAGTTAAATGATCATAATTATTAAAATTAATAGACATTATGTTTCAAATGCAGGTTTTACTTAAAGGGAGAATTTCATATATGCCCTTCTTAAACATCAAAATATCATATTTATCCAACTTAATTTCTAAATATCATATTTACCCTTCATAAAATTTCTAAATATCATATTTACCCTTCATAAAATTTCTAAATATCATATTTACCCTTGATAAAATTTCAAAATATCATATATGTCCTTTTTAAACATCAAAATATCATATATGCCCTTCTTAAACATCAAAATATCATATATGTACTTTTTAAACATCAAAATATCAATGGTAATATCTAAAATATCCTCCATGTACAACATGATAATAATCAACAACAACAAAAACTAAACAATCAAAATATACATTCCATAGAGAGGGTTGAAGATGAATCTTTTTGTTTGTCAAGAGGGCAACATTCCAATAATTTAGAAGTTCACATTCTAGTATCATAGACGTAAAGATAATATGGTTAAAAATTTTAATTATTATAATAATTTTAAGGTATAAAAATGATTATAAAATATTAAAAACATTATAAAAAAGATTTGGGAAAATATGATATTTTCAAGGTTTATGAAGGGTAAATATGATATTGAGGAATCAAGTTGGGCAATTATGATATTTTGAAGTTTAAGAGGGGCATATATGAAATTCTCCCTTACTTAAAACAAGCATGTATAGAAAAATTGGTGCAACTATTGGTATTGACCTTGGAACAACATATTCTTGTGCGGGTGTTCGGCAAAATGACCAAGTTGAGATCATATCCAATGATCAATGAAATATGACTATTCCATCTTGTGTTGCTTTCACGAATGGCAGACGTCTAATAGGTGAAGGTGCAAAGAACCAAATTACTATGAACCCCACCAACACCATTTATGGTCTCCATTTAATTTATTTGCTCCTTTGTTTTATGCTTGTAGAATTCATAAAATTGTTATCCATCATTGATTAATATAAACTTAGTGGATTTTTAGATGCAAAAAGATTGATTGGAAGAAGATTCAATGATACCAAACTTCAGCAAGACATCAAGTTATGGCCTTTTAATGTCATAAAAGGTATTAGAGACATTCTGATGATTGTAGCTTCACATAACGGTGAAGAGAACGAGTTTTCTTCAGAGGAGATTTCATCTATGGTTCTTATTAAATTGAAAGAACTTGCAGAGAAATTCCTTGGTAAAACTGTACGTGACGCAGTCATCACAGTACCAGCTTATTTTGATGATTCCCAACGCCAAGCAACAAAGGATGTTGGTCATGTTGTTGGACTTAATGTTCTACAGATAATCAATGAGCCAACCTCAGCAGCAATTGCATATGGATTAGACATGAAAAATCATATAGCTCGTGACATAAATGTGCACATCTTTGATTTAGGTGGTGATACATTTGATGTCTCTCTTGTCACCATTGATAAGAAGGGTACGATAACAGTTAAGGTCGTTGTTGGTGACACTCACTTAGGTGGCCAGGACATTGATAACGCAATGTTTGACTATTTTGTGGAACAATTCAAGAGAAAGCACAAGGCAGACATCAGTGTGAATAAAAAAGCACCATCTCGGTTGAAGGAAGCTTGTGAAAAAGAAAAAAGAGTTCTCTCTTCAATTATTGATACTACTATCGATATTGACAACTCGCATGATGGTGTTGATTTTTCTATGAGAATATCTCATGCAAAGTTTAAAAAGCTTAATGAAGATTTCTTTAGTAATTGTATAAAGATGGTGGAGACGTGTTTGGGTGATGAAAAAATGAATAAAAAACAGATAGATGAGGTAGTATTAGTTGGTGGGTCAACTGGGATACCCAAGGTACAACAATTGTTGAAAGACTTCTTCCAAGGAAAAGAGCTTTTTAAGAAGATCCATGTTGATGAGGTAGTTGCGTATGGTGCAACAGTTCTTGCTGCAAAATTAACTGGCTATAGCGGTAAAAGAGTTCGCAACCTAGTGTTGATAGATGTTGTGCCTTTGTCACTTAGTATTGAAATTTATGGTGGCTATTTGTCTGTTTTAATTAAAAGAAATTCCCCAATACCAGCCAAGAAGGAAGGAATTTATGTTAATGTTAAGGATTACGAAGATACATTAACTTTCAATGTCTATCAGGGTGAGAGAAGTATGGCCAAAGACAGTAATTGGCTAGGAAAATTCGATGTTACAGTCCCACCTCTACTAAAGGGGTTGTCACAGGTAAACGTGATCTTCGACAATGATGCTAATGGTATTTTAAATTGGTCAGGAGTGGAATTAACAACTGGCCTAAAAAAAGGGATTATAGTTACCAATCACAAGGACATGCTTTCGACAAGAAATATCGAAAAAATGCTAGATGATGCTCACAAGTACAAATTACAAGACGAGGAGAACAAGAAGAAGGTTTTTGTACATAATGCATTGGAGGACTACCTTTATGATGTGAAAAGAAAAATCAAGAAAATAGGAAACACTACCAAGATGTTTACTAAGAAAGAACTGGAAATAATGGAAATTGCCATAGAAAAAGCAAACGAAATTCTTAATGAAAGCCAACTTGCGGGTTTTGATGAGTATCAAAAGGAGCTAAATCAGTTGGAAAAGGTATGCCTGCCAATCATTGTCCAACATGTTTAAACAACATTTTCTTAATTGTGATGGAGAATTAGTTGGAGTGTCATCTACTATAAAGTATTTTTTATAGTTTGTATTTTCCAGTAAAAGTTTACATTTGAGTGTGGTATTGATTTTGTGTGTGAGTAAAGAATCAAATGATTTTCATAATATTTCTACTATATACCTTTAATAAATATATTTCTCCTTTTTTAAGTGTATCTAGGATAAGAACCATTGTTGATGATTTTTAGTAAAATACCAGTGATCGAATTATCCCTAGGACAAGTAATCACCATTAACGCTTTTAGTTTTTAGTTTGTCTTGATCGTAACGGAAAATTCTATCGTTATTTTTTTACGTTAATCCCTCACAAAAATTTAATTGTTTTCATTTGTGAACATTTAATTGAAGGTTTGTTTCTATTTCTACTAAAAGAATGTACATAACCTTTTTTCTTTTACTTCATTACCTTTCTTACATGATTCAAATTCAGTTGCAAATATATAAAGAACATGAAAACTGGTAGCTTTTAACATTACAACCAAAATAAAATGCAATAATACCGACTACAATGCTCTTATAAAAGATAAATAAACTTCTCAAATGAAAAATTACAATTTGTAAGATAAAGTACAACACCATATTTTAGTCTGTAATGTCCTAATAGAAACTAAAAGTTACCAAACCAAGTTTTGTAAAGCTAATATTTCCAAAAGTGATACACTTTTTTGCAAAGTAGATAAACTTTTGCATGTGATGTTGGTATAAATGACCACATCAGTCCATGGTCGATTAGCTACCAAGAGCCTAATTTCATCAATAAAACATTGCCATTTTTAGGTCTCCACTTCCTCTATATCACAAAACTGTAATATTATTAAATCATCACTCTTTAGATAACATAAATTCCTAGTAAATAGGAAATGCATGATCATCCCTTCTTGAGAAACCATGAGTGCAACCTAATCTTTTGAACATGGATGATAGAATAATACCAAGAACAATGACTAGTGAGTAAATTTGTTCTTATAATAAGGGTTGATACGAAATAAACTATAATAAGTAATAATACTAAGTATAATTCTGTAATGGCAAAAAACTAAACGTACGATGGTATAATTGATAGTCAAATTCAAAAAAGTTTAGATTTTAAATGTATAGTAATATCGTAGCTTAGATTTTGAAAGTATAATGACTTGATAAGTTAATATGATAGATTATTAAATTATGATGAATTGGTATCAGAGCAGGAGGCTGTGTAATCGATACACTTCTTTTCTGTGAAAAAGGTTTCACTTAGGGTTTTCCGCAATTACTGATATTTATTGAGCCGTCATCTCATTATTGACGTATCTTGATATTTATTATTTTGCCCTAATCTGATTTATTACAAGTCTGATCTTTGAACAGGTTATTTGATCATTATGGACGAGTCGCAATCGAATCCCATCAATATTTCAAACAACATTGGATCAACAACGAAGATTCCCATCCTATACACCCACGATTATGAAGTCTGGGCGCATCACTTTGAAGATTACGTTATAGGATCTGAGGATAATGGATACCTCATCTGGGAAGCAATTATTTCTGGTCCGTTTTCTCATTCTGCAACTTCAAGGATTATTAAAACTCAAAAGGAGTATAATGATCTTCTGAAAGATGTTAAAGATATTGCGCAAGATTAAAAAGATAAATTTCAGTGTAATATCAAGGCGTTAAGAGTGATCAGATTCGCCCTTCAGTCCGACACTTTCAGGTTGGTAAGCTCATGCACGACGGCAAAGGAAATTTGGGATAGGCTACGTGAATTTTACTCTTCAGACGAGGATCTTGAACACTCTATCCAAACCTTACTCTTGTCTGAGTTTGGAGAATTCAGGCAAGGAGACGAAGAAACTATGACCCAAACGTTTGATCGCTTCAATCATCTTCTCAGCAAGATGATCAAACATGACATCGAAAGGAAGCTTATTGAGCAGAAGGTTACGTTTTTAAATGGTCTAAGATCAGAGTGGAGAGCAGTGGTGTCTACAGTTAAAGCCCATGAGCAATTTAATTCATATTCCTTGGCGAAACTAGTGGGTATTCTCAAATCTCAGGAGAAGATTGTGTTGCAGGAAAAGAATGTGGTTTCAAGCCTAGGTTCGTTGGCCCTCCTGTCCAAAAGTAAAGCTGTAATGGAGGACGAAGACCTCAACTTGGAGGATTATGACCTCACGTCTGAAGATTATACTAAGATGGTGTCTAACCCTAAGAGGTTCATCAAGAAGAGATTCCCCAACAACAAAAACCGAAACTGGCAGGGGAGTTATAGCTCAGAAAAGGTTAAAGATGAACCGAAGGTAGAAGGTGATTCTGGAGTAAGCTGCTACTATTGTGGGGGAAAGAACCACTATGCAAAGGATTGTGTCCTCAAAAAGATGGCTGAAAAGGATGAGGAAGCTTTGCTGCAGAAAAAGCTTGATGAGATAAGGAAGAAGAAATCTACCACTAACCCTTCTATGAATGCTCTAATTGTGCAGGGTTCGGTTGCTGATGACGAGTTCGGTGGTGTGGAGGTTTGGTCAACCGACTCTGAAGATGATGAAGTGAGGAAGCCTTCCCATGGAATGGCTTGTATGGCAAAAGGGGAAAGCAGTGGAGGAAGGTGTTTGATGGTGTCTGACGTATCTCAAATGAGGGGATAGAATACCGATAGTGGGAGCAATAAACCGAAGGAGCAACAGGATATGTGCTTTACAGCCAAACCGCTCAGCGTACAGTTCAACGAGCTCGATGAACTAATCAAGAAGGTACAATCGGTTTTTGTCTCGTTTAAAGTTCCACAATGCTGATATGAAAAAGAACTAAAAAGTGTTAATTCACGAATCTCTCATCTAGATAGTAGTTTAACTCAAACTCGAGTCACCAATTCTAACCTAACTGATCAATTAAGCAGGGTGTCTTCGAAGAGTGAGGAACGGCGCATGTGGATCGAATTGAAGGAGTCAGAATTAGTCAAAATAAAAGATGAAAACATTTATTTACAAAGAGACAATTTAAAGCTTTTAAAACAGCGAAATGTTTTTTGTTTGATTGCAAAACGTCTTTACACTAATATTACTCAGCTTCATTTGGATTGTGAAATAGGAAAAAGGATTCATCGCATGATTTTGCCCTTACTTGAGTTTAAGGAGGACAAAATTGATGCTGAAGCATATAATTGTGAAAGTGTGATATCATCTGAGGGAGTTAATCCGACTTATATGTATGGACTGGACAAAATAGAATCTTTCATTAAATCCAAGGACCATAAGGACATGCTCAAAAACCTTTTGGATGAAAATGATAGACTGAAACTGAGAACCGAAACCATACAAAAATTTGACTCTTTAAACGCCAACTTGAGCTCAGAAAACAAAATTGATGTTGAAAATGCATCTGAGCTTAATGAGGATGACAATATGAGTGAAATTTCTGTAGAGGACACGGTTGACTGCTCAGAATTTGTGAAAAGCGAACCTGAAAACCACAGGAATCTAATTTCAGAAAATTCAGTGGAGTTCGCTCGATTGTCCCAACAAAAGTCCCCGATCTTAGCAGAGAAAGCCGTTGTATATCAAAAGGTTAGGACCACTCCAAATCAAGTGTACAAGGTCATAGGAGTAACCAAACATCAGACTGCTGAACTCACAGCAATTGTAAACGAAGACAATGCGGATGGATGCGATGAGTTCTTCTGGTCAGCTCCAATCGATAATGCTGATGAAACGGTAGGGTTATCAGAAAGGACCTCATGGAAAAGTAAAGGTAGATACGTACCAGAACCCTTGAACAAGCCAGATAATTTCGATGTGCCAAGTACTAGTGGTACGAAAGACATTCCTCAAGAAAATGGAAGTCCGGCAAAAGAAGATACTTCATGTAGTGAAACTTCCTCAGTTCAAAGTGAACCAACCAAAGAGAAACCGAAAATGAAAGCCAACATCCAACATCCTAAAACCTTAGGTCACAGTTGTTTATACTTGAAACCTTGGAATGAAGAGGAAATAGAAGAGATGTATATAAATTCTGTTCCTAAGCATGTAGGTAAAGGTATGAAAAAAATTTGTTGGGCTTGGGTTCTTATAGTTTAAGTAACTTGCAGGCAAAGCCAAATTGGAATTAATTAAATAAAGTATTTAATCCTAATTGAAATCATTTCCTTATCTACACCCAAGAGGTTTCTAGAAACCTTCAGAATCAAGCCAAAAAAGCCATAATATGGGTAGTTCTAGAATTGCTTATGTTTTTCAACTATTGGACAATTACAATTCACCATTATACCTTTAATTAATTCCAATTAACCTCGAATTAATTTCAGATTATTTCCGATTAACAATTAATTCTTAATGATTTCTCATTAATTTATCAATTAATAAATTAATTATTAAATACTGATCTCATGTTACTTTATTAATCACATAACAAATTAATAGAACAATTATTTATTTCCAATTAATATAATAATCATATAATATATTAACAAATCATTTCTCTCTCTCTCTCTATCTCTCTCTCTCTCTCTATCTCTCTCTCTCTCTCAATATCATTTCTAGCTATTTCTGGTTATAAGGACAACCCTAAAAGGACCTTCGTTATATTAACAAGTTTATTCCAATTTAGTTATGAGATTAGACATCTTAATCCAACAATCTCCCACTTGGATAAGTATATAACTACAACTGCAAGTATAATTAAACAACAAAGAGATCTTTCCATAGCCAATTCCAAACTCTAATTTAAATGAAATGTCGTCCCTAACATAAGTGATTAACTATTCTTTCATTGTCCAATATATTATATGAATGAATTCATCGACAAATGATAAACCTCATGTTCATTTGTTACTTTCTCGATCTCCGATTTAATGATCAAATTCAAACTACAAAATTGAAAAAAATCAATTTAGTCTGGACCATGCCTAGTTCTTGTAGATCAACTCAAATCACCATGGGGCCTAAAGATATCGGTTTTCCTTTTTTAGGAAAAATAAACAA